GGTTCAGGTGCATGCAGGGGTGTGAGCAGGGTTCAGTGTGAGGGAGGGGGTAGCACAGTGCCAGTGGAAGGGTGGTGATGTCCACTTGGTGCTGGGTGCATATGGATGCTTCCCTTTCTGTCCTGTGGGTCCCAGCGTCCCACTGACCCCAAGGGTCCCTGGGAAGCAGGAGGAGGAGGAGGAGGAGGCAACTGCTGGGAGAGCTGCTCCTCCTGCCACGAGTGGGTTATTTTCCCAGCTGCCGAGCTGGGAGAGTGCTCTGCTTGGTGAAACGTTTCAGATGTGTTCTATTTTGAACTCCTGTCTGATGAACTGGACATTGGCCCTTTGGGCTGTGCTAATCTTTGAGCTGAAAGAAATACAGGGTTGTTCTTGCTCTGGGGGTGGTTGCCTGTGCCCTGGGATCAGCTCCCTTGAAGGCAGCGGGGCAGTGGCAGTGCTGCTGTTGTGCTGCCCTGGGGATGTCACTGCTTTGCTGTGCTGCTGTCCCTGCTCCTGTGCTGTGTTCCCTTGCCCTGCGCTGGCCCCATGCCCGGCTGCTGCAGCGGGGATGCTTGTACCAGGCTCACTCCTCAGAAGGCATCACTTCCACCTCCTGGGGCACAAACACGCTCGCTGAGGACGTGAGTGACTCTGATGAAGAGACAGCTTCAGAGCAGCCCCTTGTCTGCCCCTTTTGCTGCACAGATAGCGATGCAGTACTGCCCGGGATGCTTCAATGCTTTTCAGGACCTTTGCAATGTGGCTTGGATGCCATAATTAATCTAACCACAGTCTAAAGCCCTACATCTGCATCCCATGACAGTCTCTGTTGCGTTCAGCATCCTCTTTCCACTCCCGGTTTAAGTCGGTGCATGTTTAACACTGGGATGCTCCATCCAGGTCCCGTTTCCAAATGGGGTCAGGCAGACCCATGAGCAGAGGGGAGGGAAGAGGAGAGGACGATGCTTTGGGGCTGCCTTGGAAAATCACCAGTGTGCTTGCCAGCTGCTGGCTCACGCCAGCCCAGTTCTGCCTGTCAGGCTGCGAGATGTCACATCCCAAATGTGGCATATGGAGCTTGGGCTCAAATTGTCTCTTTTCTGGGCTAACGAATAAAAACCCCTCTTGAACAGTGCAGAAAACACACAAGCACTGCATGGGTTTGCTTATTCACATGGCTGATGGAGAGCAGCCAGCTCTGCCTGACAAGTGCATCCCTGTCTTGTCCCTCCATGCTGCTGATGGGCATACTGGGGACATTGTAGGTCTCCTTGTCCAAGGTCCATGGCAGAGGTTCCCTGGGGCCCTGTCATCACTCTTGTCCTCCCCTTGTCTTTCAGATGCCCTGCAGTAACGTGTCCCTGCTCAGAAGGACCTGCCTGCTTTAGCCAGCCCGTCCTCCCAGGCATCCCGCTAGCGATGGCCTCAACACCCCAGTGAGGGCAACAGGACCAGGAGCAAGCCCCCCAACACCACCACATCCCTTGGGAGAGCCATGGAGGCCCCCCCGGACGTGCCTGTAGGGAACCTCATCGACTTTGACACCGAAACACCCACCTGCATCCCTTCGGAGCCCTCTGCCCCCAATGGCAACGGGCACCCGGGGGACACGGGGGACGTGGCTGGGGAGGAGAGCGATGCCACCGAGTCAGCAGACAGCGAGAACGACATGGGCGACTCCCCCCAGCACTGGGGCAGGTACCAGCGCTCCTCCTCCAACGAGTCCTTCTCCTCCAGCCAGAGCACCGAGTCGGCCCGGGATGAGGAGACGGCCGAGCGCCGGGAATTCATGCGGCACTACGTGGAGAAGATCTTCACCGGGGGGTGAGTGAACGGGGCCTGAGCCTCCTGCCCTGGCATCCCATAGGGTGGGATCTGGCTGCTCTTCCACTCCGGGAACATCGGTTTGTGTCCTTCCCTGTGCTTGGATAACGCAGCTTGTTGCTCCCGGTGTTGTCAGAGCTGACAGGGGGATGCATGCTCTGACCTGCATCCCTTTCTTGGGCACATCCCAGCTTATCTTCCAGCTTCCCACCCCTCTCCTTTCTCCCTTTTCCCATGCTGGGGGTCTCACTGTGCTTCTGTCTCCAGCTCCTCTCCCCCACTAATGATGCTCCTGCCAACACCAGCAGCTCACCATGTGCCCCTTGGCCCTGCAGCAGCCCCTGGCTCCCACCTCAGCCCTGCATCCCCTCAGCTCCCATCACTGTGGTCTCCATAATGCTGTGGCTCAGCGTGTCAAGCAGGATTGAGCAAACGGAGCGTGATGAGCAGCAACAGGGTTTGTTTTTGCTCTGGGGCACAGTGCCTGTCTCTGGAGCTCAGTCTCTGCTCAGGCTGTGCTTAGCGCTTCCTTTGTCCCCCTCCCTTTGGTTTTCCCCTGCCAGGGAGGAACAAAAGAGCAGCATAAGATGAGGGATGGCAAAATGGATGCTCCTCTTCCTCTGCTTCCTCCTGGCATCGCAGGACCAGGATGGAGGTGGAGGAGCTGAGCCACGATGGCAGGACAAGATGCCATCCACATCCTCACCTTTAATAGTGTTTTTCTCTCTTTTTAACCCATTTCAGAGAGGATCTGGACCAAGAAGAGAAGGCCAGGTTTGGTGAGCTCTGCAGCAGCGAGAACGGGAAGGGCAGAGAGTGGTTTGCAAGATACGTGAGTGCCCAGGTAAGGGGAGAGATGGGCAAAGGAGCAGCGACGCTGCACTGGGGCTTTGGAGCAGGAGGCTCAGGCCAGGGGAATTCAGCAATACCCCAAAACAATACTTCTGGAGGGCAGGAACTCGGGTAAAGGGAGGAACTATCAGGGAGATGCAGATGTGAATAAATGCATCTTGAAGCAGTTGCTTATTGCAATGTGGGAACAGAATTCACCTCTTTTACGTAAAATGAAATCCCATCAGCACTCAGAAACATCCTATTCCCTTCAAAAACAGTTCCAAGAGGCAAACCCCTGTCTCCAGGAGCGAGGCTCTGCCCATCTCCCTGCATGGGGGGTCGTGGGGTGGGCAGAGGTTGCTGCTTTAGCTGTGCTAAACCCTGGGCTTTGTGTCTGCAGCGCTGCAACTCCAAGTGCGTCTCGGAGCAGACCTTCTACCGCCTGATGCAGTCCTTTGCCCTCGTGTTGTTTGAGTAAGTCAGGGGCGGGATGGGGCTTCGTTGCCATCACTGAAAGCCCCTGAGATCAGAGCCATGGCTCGAGGAGGGGCAGCACCCATGGGTTGCCATCACTGGGAGTCTTCACCAAATCCTCCTTCTGTGGCAGGTGTCACCAGATGGATGATTTCAGCCCTGCCAAGAACCTCATGACCATGTGTTTCACCTACTACTACGTGGGTAAGGAGTGCCTGCACCCTGGGGCTCTGCTTGTGTTGGTGGTGAAGTGTGCCCTGTGCACGCGAAGGGTGATAGAGGGTACCCAAGCTTGTCTTACTCTGTCTGATACTGAGCTGAAAAGAGCCTCCATGGCCAAGAAGCAGTGCAAACCTCCCAGAGGCCCTCGTTGGGGTGGTACCTCATGCAGATGAGGGTTTATCATTGCTTCTAGCCAGGGCTAGTGTGTGTGGCAACCCCCAGATGTTCCCTGACCCTGGGGATGTGATGCGAATGTCCCAGCCCAGAAGCACCTTGGCTTATTGCTTGACGTGTGGTGGTCACTCCTGATTTTCTATCCGAAACTAGGGGGAGGATAAAGACCTACAGGAACTGGGATGGGTCTGGGCTGTTTCCGTCTGCCTCCTGGTCGTTGTGGTGCATCTTGTAGCTGGGAGCGGGTCCTCCAGGAGCTGGCAGCACCCAGGACCATGGGTCCAGCTGAGCTCCTGATGTGTTGCCCACAGGCAAGACCCACACGCTGCCCTTGGAGGCCAAGGAGAAGCCGACGGGCAGCATCGACTCGTACCTGAAGTCAGCAAATAGCTGGCTGGCAGAGAAGAAGGACGTCGCGGAGCGGCTGCTGAAAACCACGTCAGCCAAGACAGAGAATGTCAAGGGCTTCTTCGGGGGCCTGGAGACCAAACTGAAGGGTCCTACCAGCAAAAAGAGCGAGTGGGTACCCCTGTGTTGGCCGGGCAGGATGGGATGAGGCAGGCACACGAAACATAACCAAGGCAGCAACCTCCCGAGTGTAGGGTCATCGTGAGCCAGGAGGTGTCATGGCCATGGGAAGAGGGTTGGTCCCATGCTTCATACTTTGGTCACTGGGCATTTTGCATCCTGGAAGTTCTATGTCCCCTGGGCATGGAAACCACAGACTCATAGACACATGGTTCTAGCAAATGGTGCTGTTGCTCTGTGGTCTTGTGCATCATCTCTGTACTGGGCCTGACTGAGATGGACATCACAGTCTCTTAGCCACCTTTCTGGCCTTGGGGACAGTGGCATGGGAGCAGGGGGGGGGGTCAATGAAGGTACTCTTCTCATTGGGGTGGGCAGGGCTTTGTCATATGGGCTGTCATAGGGACAGGCTTTTTGGGTCCTGACACTGATTTCTGTGCCACAGCGAAGGTGAGGACAAACCAAAGGAGAAGCTGAAGAAGACGGGTGAGTGGAGCCAGTGTTGATGGTCAAGACATCCTCAGTGAAGGAGTGAGGGTTGGAAGTAGCACAAAATGACCAGCATTGCTGGAGCTGTGGGGCCGGGAGAAGGGCAGGAAGATGCTGTCTCCTCTGAGCTCCTAGTGCTCTAAAGGAGCCTTTACAGCTCCTTGCTTTGGAGCAATCACAGCTCTTGTCCTGCAAGGACATCTTGTGACATCTTGTCCTCAGTGGCAGAGGTTGCAGAGGTTTGAGCATCCACTGCCCCTGAGCTTTTGTGTTGCACCAGTTTCCTCTCAGTAGCTGTTTCTGCTACCAATCAATGGTCCAGTCCCTCAGGTACCCTTCCAGGACATCCATGCTTTGATCAAAACTAATATCTGCCCACAAAGGGCAGCCAAATCTCCTATTCTTGTTGCTGAGGGTGTGTTGGGAATAAGTATTTGGTTTGCAAACCTTGCCATGACGGCTGCATGGACACCAAGCTGGAAGGGGGCACATAGCCTGTCCATGGGTGGGAAGGTGGGAATCATCCAGACCTTGGCATATAACTGTGTCCTCACAGTTTCTGTGCAGAGCCCAGAGGAGGAGAAGAAAGGAGAGAAGATCTACCTGTACATGCACCTCAAGCAGCAGCCGATCTGGTAAAGCCTGCCTGGGGCGAGCTGGTTCCTGGCCTGTGTTGGTCTCCCTGGGGAGGGGACTTCTTCTCCTTGCCCACACCTTCATCAGATGTTTGTGAGCGCTTTTGAGCTGCTGCTCCCCCTAAGAGAGGATGCCTGTGGCTTTTGCACATCCCTTGTGCTAGTGAGAGTGTGTTTGCAGCCACTCAAGGAGCTGGTCCAACCACCAGGCTTGCTTTAGCCCCCCTTGAATCATCTCGTGGCCCTTGGGAAGTGGGAGAGCTTGGACCTGGGAGGACCTGGGGACATGGGGGAGATGGGAGATAGGGGGTGGTCATTCCCAGCATCTCCCTCCCTCCCTGCAGGCACAATCTGAGGTTTTGGAATGCTGCCTTCTTTGATGCTGTGCACTGCGAGCGCAGGAAGCGGTCCCCCACCACCAGGTAGGATGTGTTCCCATAGGAAAAGGAGATGCTGTGTCCCCTCCAGCCTCACAGCATTCCCAATGGCCCTCAGCATCACCGACCATAGGGAAATGTTCTGCTTTCCACCCTGATGACAAATCCGTGGGACCACTGGGCTGTGGGGTGCATCCTCTTAGGGATTTGGGATCATGAAGGTGTTTTTGCTTGTTTTGCATTGGTTTTGCAAGGACAAAGCCCTAGAGGCATGTCCACATAATCCCAGCCGTGTTCAGGCTGTTGATGCTTAGTCTGCAAGCAGATCTGGGGAAAGATGCTTGGTGCAGAGATAGGGAGGGGATGCTCTGGGTCCTTCCTGTCCCCAGGGGGCTGTGGACATGCTGTGCCAGCACAGTGTGGGGACCAACACCAGGCAAGCATCAAGGATGGGATCCGGGGATGGCAGCATCATCCCTGAGAGCTGGAGGATGGGGATAAACCCTGCAAAGGGAAGGGGCTGCTTGTTTGGGAGGGTGATTGTGTACTGGGACCATCTGGATGCCCAGGTGTGGGGACCCCACAGGGTGCAAGGGTGGGTGAGATGCTCACCAGGGCCATGCCCATCTCTTGCTCCACCGTGGAGCTGCCACAAGGACTTGAGCGATTCACTCCTCTCTCAACTGCAGTTTCCCCGCTGCTGTGTGTCTGTGCAGTGCTTTGAGCTTTCAGGATGAGAGCATTTGAACAGCCCCTTTTCTGAGCAGCCAGCCCTCCTGCATCCCCCCCACAACCTGAGCTAAGCCACAGCAGCCCTGGCTCACGCTATGGGATGCTCTGCTAGGCTCAGCGCGCTGATCAATCTCTGTTTTCTCTTTAATTGCCTTCCTTTTTATCCCAGGCAAGCCACCGAGAGAACCTATTGAACAGTTAATGTAGCCATAACTGCATTTGCTTTGATTAAGCCCCAAATTAGCAGCAGCAAGTGTCTCACAAGGACATACGCCACCGGCAGCTGCTCTCTGCTCCGAGTGCCTTTCTCAATTAATCTGATGGCTGAGTCTGCTTCTGCTGCAGAAACAAGCCCACCTAACAAATGAGCTGCACCTTTGGAGCACTCTCAGTATCTCGGGGAGGGGGGGTGGAAGGTGGTAGTGATCCCTCTCAGTCTTCTGGAGAGGATAATGGATGCAACTGGGTGAACGGATGCTGCTTGCTGGACTGAGGATTAAAATCCCTGGCAGGAGGAGCTGGTTGTGAGGGCTGTTGTCCCATGGGGTGGGTTTGAAACACCAGGAATATGGTGCTTGGCCATGGGAGATGTCCAGAGGGTCCACGGTGATGGGGCTGTGACCATCTCTAGGGGGTGACCAGGGTATCTCTGGGCTGTTTGGGCTGCATCCTCCTGGGACTGCAGTAAAGTTGGGGAGGTTTTTGCTCCTGTTGGTGGGGAGGGCAGGGGATGGAGGAAGGAACCAGAACTAAACCTCTTTTTCTCTCTCTTTCCTCTCTCTGCCTCTAACAACCTTCTTTCCTTCTCTTCTTCTCTCCTTTCCCCTCCATCCCTCTATCTTGCATGATCTTTCACGCACCACTTTTGTCGGCCCTGTTTCTGCTGCCGCTCCAGAGGGAACACTGGGGAGGAAGAGGAGAAGAGGTGTGTCTGTCCCCGTACTTCAGTGCGTTAGTGTCCAGAGGCCGATGCTCACTTCAGGTCCAAATCCTGCCCTGGGGAGGGGGGCAACTGGGGGCTCTGAAAGGCCCTTTCTCCATAGAGGAGGGACGGCCACCAGAGGTTAGACTCTGTGCATCACCCACTCAAAAGGGACAGAAAGGTTTAGATTGGTTCCTTTTTAATGTAGCCTTTTATAAGGAAACTTGACCAGTTTCAAGCTGTAATATTTTACTGTGGGAGTCAGATCCCCACTGATGGGGAATCCAAGGGCTTATGCTGGGAACAGCTCCCCGGGCAGGTTTTGGACACGAACTGAGCCTCTTTGTGGAGAAAGCATCCCCCTCTCCTGTCTTTCCCGCTTGCTCCTGGCTTCTGCTGCCACATAGAGGTGCTGAGGATCCTTTGCCAGCTGAAAAAGCTCAAATCCAGATATATCCATCTGTGCTCCGAGCTGGGATCGGGGCAGGGGGAGAGTCATGGCTCTCTTGCTGGAGCGTGGGATAGTCGATCTCGGAGCAAATCACTCCAAGTGATGGCATTAGCAAGAGGATGAAGGTTCTTTGAAGCTTGGCAGTAAATCTCCCGCGTGGCTAAGGCATGCACCAGCAAATGGATAACTGGAATACGGCTCAGATAGAGCATTGCTCAGGTTTGCTGTGCGGGGTGAAATGCTGTTGCTGAAAGATGAGTGATGCTGAAGCCACAACCCCACCGGTGTGGTTCTCATCAGTGTCTGTCCATGGCAAGACATACCTGGGTACACCAAAATACAGGCAAGGTGTTAGCACACCATGGGGTTACACACCCCTGCGCCTGCCCCACCGTGCTGGTATGAAGATCAAAGAGCTTGAGTAGAGCCACATGTGGGTTTTCCCCCTTCCCAGGCATGTTACTCCCGAATAACAAGCCAGATTTTTCTTGGGCACTTTGATAATGTTTTTTTTCTCTCTCCTTCCTCCCTCAAAAACATAAAAAGGCAGGAAAAAAATTGTTACAAACATGCTGCTTCTGTAAGTGGGCCAGTGAGGTCTGTGAAGTTTCGCTTCCAGATTTCAAAGCTCCTTAATTTGATTCTTCTCCTTTCTTTGCAGCCTCCAGATTTGGATGTGGTTTTCATTTGCTATTGTAAGCTTTATCTGGAAGAAATTACACCTCCTTTTTTCTTTAAATCCTTTTTAATATACCATATAAGTTTCCAGAGCCCTGTGAATAGCAGCAGCTCACTCCTGGAGACTGAAAGCTCAGCTCAGCACCTTCCTCATAGGCTGGGCTGGCGGGGGTGAGGACAGGGTTCCTTTGTGGGGTCAGCCTGGATGAGCACTCATCGTTCTCCACTTTCAGCAACACCAACATGCTCTGGGTCTGAGCTCACCTCCCTGAATGTACTGTGAGACACCCTTCATCCCAACTGCTGTTTTCACCCAACACAGCTCCTCCCATCCTGCTCGGTGTGCCGGTGAGCTAGTGCGAGCTATAAGCGTGTGATGCGCTCCTGGTGTTCTCCTCTTCCTTCTCCTCCATAGAGCTACTTTTCTTCTACCTATCCCTGTTTTTCCTTGCTTTTCCTCCTCTTATCCTTGCCTGTAACCTCTCGGGATGGGGCTGGCTTCACCTGGTGTGCATGCACCGAGCCCCTGCTGCCACCACCTGAGCGTTGCACCACCACAGTGACATTCCCATGACACAGGCTTTACTGCCAAAGCCCCTGCAAGTGGGACACCGGGATGGGGACTCCTGCCACCACCTAGAGTTGGTTGCAAACATCTAGAGCACAGAAACCCCTTTCCTTTAAGGCAATGATGCAGTTGCATTTGCTTGGGAGGCGGCGTAGAGCCAGGGCATCCTCAGGGCTGCACTGTGATGTTGGCACTTTGGCCCTTGAGTGGGGCCATGGGAAGGAGGACGGGAGCCCCCCGTGCTGTCGGAGGGGGAGGTATGTTTGCGGAATGGCTTGCTTGGGGTTTGGGGTGTTGGAGCCCCACTGCAGAGGGAGGAGAGGTGACTGGTACCCTCCTGGTACCCCTCCTGGGTTGGGGGGGCTTCAGCATGAGCTGCAGACCCCCCTGCTTCCTCACTCATCCCCCTTGCCAAAGTGATGGCACTGAAGGTGAGAGATGCAAGCTCTGTGCTGGCGAGGCCAATGTTCTTCCTGGCTCTTAACCTTCGGCAGCAAGCCAAGCTTGAAGATGACTTTCTCCTGCGACATCTCTTTCTTTGTCCCAGAGCAAGAGACCTGCGGATGGATGCAGTTGTGGGAGCTCATCCTGCACCCCACATGCCAAGGGGTTTTGATGCTGTCTGTGTCCTGGGGAGGGGGGATGCAGGCAGGGGGTCCTGGGGTGATGGTGGTGCCAGACGGGCTTGTGCCTTGCAGGGAGAAGTGGTGCCATATGACGCAGGAGGAGCGTGACGACAGCCTCCGCTTCAATGAGAACATCACCTTCGGGCAGCTGGGGTGAGCAGGACATGGGCTGTTGAAGGGGGGCACCTGCCAGATATTCCTTCACTGGGGACATCCATTATGGTGCAGAGGACACTTGGTGTTCTTAGGGTCTGTTCCTGACCCTAAATTGAAAATCTGGGCACCACAATGTCTCTTAGCATGCTCTCCCATAGCCGAGCATCACCCCAGTGCCTCATACAAGGGGATGCAGGGAGAAAGAGGAAGGTGGGGGGAAGAAAGGGCAGCCTGGCCCTTCCCTCACCAAGAACATCTCTGTCCCTCCTCAGCACCTTCATTCACAACATGCTGGCGTTCGGCTTGAACAAGAAGCTCTGCAGCGACTTCCTGAAGAAGCAGGCGACCATCGGCAACTTGGATGAAGGTAGGGGAGGATGAGCACCCCTTCCATGGGATTCCAGAGGGATGGAGCCCTCCTACCTGGGTGGGATGCTTCAGCACCCTCCCAGCACCATTTTCTCTCTCCTCCACAGAGCAATACAAGCTGCTCAGTGACCACATTGAGCAGATGGCTACTGAATAGCCGCCTGGCCCCCA